ACTCCGGCACGTCCCTCCGGATTTGCCCCCACCCCTGCTCAGGCCTGGCCGCATCACTGTGTCCCGTGCCGGGGACACTGCCAGCCCCTCATCCCGGGGCTTCGCAGGAGCAGGAAAAGCTGCGGCGGGGCGTGGGCGGGGGGCGCGGGCGGGGGCAGCACCGCCCTCCACACCCCACCCCGACTCCGACTTTCCTGGCTCCTCCCCACGGAGCTTTCCTCGCCCTCCGCTTCCCCCTTGGGACAGTAATTACGGCAGTAATTAGGATAACAATTATTCTTGCTGAATGGGAACATCTTAATGTGTTTCTCCCTGCTTTGGCAGGTTTCACCCCACGCCCACCCACGGGTACCTGCGGGTGCCTCCCAGCTCAGCGCCCGGGGCCGTGCGCTGCCGTGGGCCCGGCCCCTCGCCTGGAAGCTGAGCCGGCTGCGAGCCGTGTCCCAGCCCCGGGGGCCACCCAGGCACGAAGCAGCCCCCGGACCCCCAGCCTGCTGCCAGGAGCAGGGGGCTGCCGGAGGGCACAGGACACACGCGGCTCCGCTCTGGTGTTCCGCGGGAGCAGCGTGGGTGAAGAACCAAGAGAGGGTGATGAAGGAGGTGGCAAAAGGACAGGATGGGAATGGATGGGAGCATCAGTGGGACCTGCATTCAAAAGGACAGGATGGGAATGGATGGGAGCATCAGTGGGACCTGCCTTCCACAGCCACAATGGTAGGCAGCGAGGTGGTACCCAAAGGCTCAGCCCTGTGCTTGGGCCCTCCTGCCAGGGATGCTCTCTGTTAGACATGAGGGAGAAAGCGATGAAGGGATGCACCTCTGGCACAGCCTTTCCTCAGGACTTGCACCACAGGGAGCGCAGGGAGAGCGGTGCTGCAGTGTGCCGTGCCCCAGCCCTTCCCTGGCTGATGGCTGCACCAGAGCTGGCAGCTTTCCATGCCCTGGCATGGCACTGTCATGATCCCTGGCAATGGAAAGGCCAGTGCCAACCTCCCACGTCTGTCCCCAGCACAGGCTTGTCCCCAGGAGGCTATGGCAGCCGCTGGTGCTGTCACCAGCCCAGCCTGGGTATGCTGCTGCCACCCGGCTGGGCTCCCTGAGGGCTGTGCTGGCACAGCTGTCCTGTCCTACCGGTCCCCCCAGCTCGAGGGCTGTGGCTAGGATGCCACCAGGGAGACCAGGCCCTGCCCGGGTGTGGCTCATTACCTGCATGGCAGGTATGAGCTTGGTTTAGGCACCAGCCCTGCTCCCTCCGCCCCGCCCGCACACCTTAAATCCCAGCCCACCACACCCAGGGCCAGACCCGGCCATCCAGGGCACCATGGAGCTGCCACCTGGCTGTCTTCTCCTCCTTGCTGCCCTGCTGCCCCTAGCCAAGCGGTCCAGCCCGGCCCCGCACGCAACTGGACAAAAGGAGCTGGGGATGGGTGAGTGTGGCTGGGTCATGGCCTGGGAATAGGGATACTCTGGGTGCCACTGGAGTGGGGATACTCTGGGTGCCACTGGAATGGGGATACTCTGGGTGCCACTGTTGCCTGGTGCTTACCATTGCCCCATGTGATGCCAGGTGCCTACAGGTGTGAGACTGTGGGAGCTTGGGGTCTGAGCCCGGGGCACTGGGGGGCTGCTGTGGCCACTGCTGTGTGCCTCTCAGCAGCGTCCTGGTCACTGTATCCTGCAGTAAAGCCTGGCTACTGCTACCACATCGCAGAGGTGGAGGACCTGCTGGACAAGGACTGTGGCTCCTGCCACATGGGTGCCTCCTGTTCGCACTGTACCCACGATGCCGACTGCCGTGGAGTCACCAAGTGCTGTCCCAGCAAGTGTGGCTACACATGCCAGGAGCCAGTGCTGGGTGAGGACGCAGTGGTGGTTGGGGCTCTGGAGTGGCATTCACAAGGGTGGGTGACAGGAGGGGTGTTGGCTGACATGGGGTAGCAAACTGGGAAGTCCCTGGGGTGTTCCTGAGCTCTTGATGTGTCTTGCAGACCCTGGGGGTCACCACATTGTGCTATGGGGAAGCTACTGGTGTGTGGGGCTGTGGGCATGTGGGTGCAGAGCTGTGTCTGGCACGAAGGGTTTGGCAGTACAAAGGAACTGTGCAGGGCTGTCTGAGGGTGTGAGAGTGATGAGCGTGGTGATGTGTCCCCCCTGCCCTGGCTCAGTCTGTCCCCTTTGGATCGTGCAGACTTCTGCTACCTGCCCTCAGTCTGTGGGAACTGCAAGGCGCTCTTCCGCCGCTTCTTCTTCAATGCCTCCAGCCAGCAGTGCGAGGAGTTCATCTACGGCGGCTGCGGCGGCAACAGGAACAACTTTGAGACCAAGGGCGAGTGCTTCCAGGCCTGTTCCCATGTCAGTAACTAGCAGTGTGGCCATGGGCCACAGATGGCAGCTGCTCCTGGCCCCTCTCCCGATGTCCCAGCTCACAGTTCCAGGTGCCTGGCAGTGCTAGCCCAGGAAGTGGTGGCTTCTGCACAGCCCCTGCCTGGGGGAAGCTGCTGCTGGTGGCCATATCCCCGACCCTACAGGGAGACCATGGGGCTGGTGGCAATGAGGGCTGTGGGCCTGGGTGGCCATGCTGGGGGCTGTGGCTTGCCTGGGATGCTCACTGGCCTAAGGACAGGGAGATATGTCCATGCCAGCATGGATGCCCCCTCCCATGCCTTGTGCTTGAGCCAAGGAGCCTGTCCCTCCCCTTGGACTGTGACAATACAAGGACGGGTCCCTGGATGAGCACGTCTGGGTCTGGTCCTTCCTGCCTGTGCTGGCAGGAGAAGGCACTGCCCGTCCCTCTGGGCACTCATCCCTCATGGGGACTGGGCGGTGGGTGCCTCCAGCAGCATGGCACGACAGGGCTCACCCAGCCACCACCCTGCAGCTCCCCTTGCCACGGATGGGCTCCCAGCCCAGACAAGCCTTCAAGCTGCCGACACGACCTGACTGGGAGCTGAAGCCACTAAAGGAGGAGGAAGAGCTCCTGCCTCGATGGATGCCCAGGGTGGTGCCTGTCCCCACCCTGCCCTGACCCGGGTCTGTGTCTGCACTGCTTCTCTGGTCCTGTGCCACCAACTCCGGCTGAACCTCCTGGCCCTGGAGGCTTCAGGTGATTTCAAGGCCACTCCAGGACCACATGGGGCAGCTGGGGGCAGTCAAGCACACAATTTATTGCTGGAGGTGGTGGGGAGGGGACAGGCCAGCCGGGGCTCATGACTGTCCCATGTCCCCTAACTTCCTGCTGCAGAGGAGCTGCTCTCCCATCACGCAGCATCTGAAAAGGAGAATATGCTTTTTGGGAGCAACAAGACTGCAGGAGTGAGGGACCAGTGGCCATGCTGGCCAGCTCCATGAGAGCTCCATCCCACTCTGCATCACTTCCCTCTCCCTGCAAATGGGAGCAGAGCAATGGGGCAGCAGTGGGAACTGGCCTCACAGTGATGCTGAGCTGAGAGCATGCTGAGGGCTGTGCCCTTCATACAGGTCAGCTGGCATCCTGCATGACCTGGTGCTAGCCCTGGTGCTGGCCCCCTTACAGTGGCCATAGGTTCCTTACCAGCAGGCACCCGCGTGCAGACGTGGCCGCAGCCATTGCTGCAGCACTTGTGGCCCCAGGGACACTCTTCATCGAGGCTGCACAGGTCCAGGCAGGTCCCACCACCTCCGGGCACTGGGCACACTCCTCCTCTGCCTGCAGGGCAGAGCACCCTGCCATTGACCGCCTGGCTGAGGCACCCCATGCCTCCTGGGGCAGCGCTGGGTCTCCTGTGCCTCACCTCCAGGAGCATCCATGCAGACACGGCCGCAGGAGGTGCGGGTGCACCTCTGTCCCCAGGGACACTGCGAGTCGGCCTCGCACTCCTCCGAGCACCGCTCAGCACTGGGCTGGGGCACAGCCACAGCGTCACGCTCTGTGGGAAGGGCAGAATGGTCACCTGGTGACTAAGCTGAGGCTGTGTGTGCTCATCACTCGCAGGGAAAGAGGGGGAGGCATGGAGAGCAGGATGAGGCAGATCATATCTGTGGAGGGTGTGAGACCCCCGCAGGTACAGCTGCCTTGGCAAGCCCAGCTCAGAGTTACAGTGTGGTCATGGTGAGGGGTATTCATTGGGGATGAAGGGCCAGGAATGCCCCAGGGTGGGTGCCAAGGGGACACGGGCTCTGTCCTTGCTGGGCTGGGCGGGTGTGAGGGGCTGACCTTGCAGAGAGGCTGGCGTGCAGACGTGGCCACAGCCATTGCTGCAGCACTTGTGGCCCCAGGGACACTGCTCGTCGAAGTCGCACAGATCCAAGCATGTGCCCCCCTCCCTGGGGATGGGGCACACTCCCACTCTGCCTGCAAGGTAATCACCCAGCTGGGACACATCTGGCCTGGGGCACCTCACCACGGGGCACTCCAGGGCAGCTACACATGTCTCCCAGAGGGCCTGGCTGGCTCTCACCTCCAGGGATCTCCATGCAGACATGGCCACAGCCGATGCTGGTGCACCGCTGCCCCCAGGGACACTGTGAATCAGCCTGGCACTCCTCCACACACCGGCCATCAGCTTTGTCCCCGCTGTCTGCAGAGGCACCAACTTTCTGTCACCTGGTTGTCCTTGGGGGTGCTGGGGCCAGCTCCTCCAGACCAGGCTGTGCCTTCTACCTCTGGGCACGGCCACGCACTCCCGGCCACAGCCGGTGTCACAGCACTTCTCCTCTCGCCGGCAGACACTGTCATCCAGGCACTGGCTGCCACGCTGGCGCCGCAGGTCCCAGCATGGCCCTGCCCGGGGACACTCTCCAGGGTGCTCTGCCAGAGGAGGGGACTCGGGTGAGGGCAGAGGTCCCAGCCCCGCTCTCACATCGCTTCCATGTGCTGGTGGCCAGGCTGCCACGCTCACCTTGGGCAGGGCGGGTGCAGCGCATGGCGCAGCCAGAGAAGCAGCACTTCTCCTGCCGGGAGCAGTCCCTGTCGTGGGTGCACGAGTCCATCTCCATGCACGGCTCTGATGCGTGTTGTGGCCTCACTTTTGGGCACACACCGGGTTTTTCTGACAGGGACAGGAAGAAATAGCAGGAGGAGGGACCACCCTGTATTGCAGGCACCTCCTTTGGTGCAGCCTCGGGGTGACCTGACCCGCGGATCTGAGTGCCTGCCCTGTGGCAGCTCAGTCCCACATCCTGCACCCAGGAGCTCTGGCAGCACTCCCGGTGGAATCACTGTTTCAGCGATCGTCTCCTCACCTGGTTCGGGGGCTGAGCACACATAGCCACATCTGCTGCTGCTGCAGCATTTCTCAGCCCCCGGACACTGCCAGTCCTTGGTGCAGGTGGTGCCACACGGGGCCAGAGGAGACTCCTCAGCCAGAGGGCAGATGCCTGGCTTCTCTGGGGGCAAGAGGCAGAGGGGCTGGGACTGCAAGCAGCAACAGCGGGCCTTCCCCACCCAGTGTCACAGCCCCTGAGATGGGGGACACCCCTGCCCGTATCTGGCACCTCGGGACGGGGGCAGGCAGACATAGTCACAGCCTCGGAGGCAGCACTTCTCCTCGCGGGGACACTCGCCATCGTGCCAGCACCAGGCTCTGCAGTCATAACTGGGGAACAGCCCGGCACGGACTGGGCAGAATCCATCCTTCCCTGCAGGCACAGAGTGGGGTGGCTGCAGTGCCGCTGCTTGGAGCCACAGCCGTGGGGACCAGGGCATGTGGGGCTGTCGAACCTCTGGGGCGGCTCCCAGCCCCCTCACCTTGGCTTGCGGCCACACAGTGCCTGGTGCACAGCTGGTGACAGCACACGTGGGCCGGGGGACAGTCCTCGTCCTTGAGGCATCCCCACAGGTGCTGCAGTGGCCTTTGAGTGACTGGAGCAGGGCTGGTGTCCTCTGCACCGTGGAGCAGGACAAGACCATGGCGGTGGCCTCACCCGAGGTTGGTTGCACTGTCCCCTTCCCTCCCCACTCCAGTGCCCACCTGGGGGCTGTGCAGTGTCTCCCCACCCCAGACCTGGCAGAACCCACCCTGGTAAGCATGGGGTGAGGTGTCCCGTTTGTGCCACAGCTCTGTGCCACGGCGGCTGCTGCCCCACGGCGTCATTCCCGATCTCTGAGCCATGTCCCCAGCCCTCCCTGCCCATCCTGTCCCTCCCTGTCCCTCCTGCCTCACCGGCCGGCACTCCCGGCAGGCAGTGGTGGCCGCAGCTGCTGTTGCAGCATTTCTGCGCGTCGGGGCAGTCGCTGTCGCCTCGGCACCGCTCCCGGAGTGATGCTGGCTGCACCGTGGGGCCCTCGCTGGGCTTGGGCTGGTCTGACAGGGCAGAAGGGGTGTGACGATTCAGCATCCCCCACTGCCGCCCTGCCTGCCCGGGGAGTCCCTGGTTCCTGCCATGACCCGCACATTCCCGGTGCCTGCGGCGGTCCCGCCGTTGGGTTTTCCCGGCAGCTGTCAGGAGCTGCCGGTGCAGGGAAAGCACCGTATGCTGCCTCAGGGGCCAGGGCGTCAGGGAGCCAGCTGTGGCACGCAGGGTCCCTGGGGAGAGCCAGGGCTCCCGGCCGTCCCCGCCGAGTCCTTACCCTGCGCCGGCTCCAGGCAGGCAGAGCCGCAGCCCAGCGGGCAGCACTTCTGCGCTCCCAGGCAGTCCTTGTCCTCCAGGCAGGGGAAGGAGCAGGGGGCAATGAGCCCCTCGGGGGCTGCTGCCGGGCAGGCACCGGGCTTCTCTGCAGCGCCGAGGGGCCGAGAGGTGAGGCTGCGCTGCAGGGTCCTCGGGCAGCACCAGGAAACCTGCCCCGCCAGACCCCTCTGCCTCGCCCTGGTGCACCCGCTCCTGTGTCCCGTCCCAGCCACACATCCCAGCGGCGGTCAGGAGGCTGCTAGCAGCGCACGGGGGGCTGCTCCATAGCAATGGGGGTTGGACAGGGAATGGGACAGGGAGAGGAGTGCCAGCTGCCCCGGGATAGAGGTGTGCCAGCGGCTGTAGCACGGTGCCGTACCTTCTGCCGGGGGGATGCAGCGGAGCCGGCACTCCCAGTGGCAGCACTTGAGCGCAGCGGGGCAGCTGGAGTCATTGGCACAGAGCGGGGACTCCAGGCGCAAGCAGCGCATGAAGTCCCGTGGACACTGCCCCGGTTTCTGGGAGTCCCCTGCGTTGGGATGGCAATGTCAGGACAGTGCCAGAGCCCCTCATCCTCCATCCCTGGGGAAGCAGGATGTGGGTCTCTCTGCAGGGAACAGGAGCAGGGGCTGCAGTCCAAGGGTTGGAGACTTCTCTGCATCATGGCCCGGGGCTACTGGACCCCCACCCCGAGATCTGCATGGCACAGCACAGTGTGGCACAGTGTAGCATGACATGTCATGGTGCGGGGTGGTATGGCCCGTGTGTGCCCTCACAAGTGCCACAAGGAGTGTCACTGGCCCTGTCAGGGTGCAGCCAGCACCAGCTGGAGGTCAGGATCTATTCCTGAGCATCCTGCTGCTGCAGGCATCCTCACTGCAAGCAGCACACTCCTCACTGCTGCCATCTCCTCTTCTTCCTTCTCCTCCTCCTCCTCTTGGCACCCTGTGCTCCTCTTGGCCATGTTGGGAAACTTGGGACAGCCCTGCCGATGGTACAGGTGAGCTCCAGCTGGCGCCTGTGCCCGGCTCCTGCTGCCAGCTGGGGCTGCGGCGGGGCCGGGTGTTTGGGCTGCAAACAGACGCTGCCGGAGTTTCACTGCAAACAGCAGCTGCTTGGCTCAAACAAAGAGGCACCGGCTGTGGTCTCGGTGTGGGCAGAACCACGCCGCAGCTGGGCACCACCGCCCCAAACATTGTCCCCCGGCAGGGGGATGGCAGCAGGGGTCTGTGCCCAGGATGCAGCAGAGACCCTGCTGCAGGAGGGAGCTGGCAGCTGAAGTTGCTGTGGGGTGCAGGGGGTGCCCACGGGGCTGAGGCCATGCACACATGCCCCTGCCCCCTGGGTGGGGGCAGGGTCTGCCAGGCAGCAGGGCTGCAGTAGAGGTGCTGCAGCCAGCTGGGACATGGTTCCTGTCAGCATACGCTGGGCAGGGCCAGAGGGGACACGGCAGGGACACGGGGGCTGGGATGCAAGGAGCTGCTCCCAGGCTGCCTGTGCCTGGCAGCTGCTGGGTTTGACTCCTGGTACTCACCACCCTTGTCTGGTGTTACACTCGGCTCTGCCCTGAGGATGAGGAGGCCCAGGAGGAGGAAAACTCCTGGGCTCATGGTGCTGCTGGGGATGCTGTGCATGTCTGGAGCTGAGCTGGGGCTTGTTTAAAATCTGGAGTGCCTGAAGTGCCAGGGCAGCTGAAGTTGAGCTGCCTGCTGTGGCAGCTGGTTGTGCTGTGGGCAGGAGGGACAGGAGGAGGGGCAGTTCCCAGAACCCACCGGCGCCCCGCCAGCCATCCCGCTTATCTCTGCCCAAGCCCTGCTTTGGGGTCATGGTGACCTGTGGGGCTGGGAAGGCCAGATGGGGTCAGGCACTGCTGTCCCCCATGTTGCACCACCCCATCCTTGCTGGAACTGGCTGCCACTCCCTCTCTGGGTTTCCTTCCAGCCCCACTTACCCCTCTTCTCCCTGGAGTGGGGGCTGTGGATAGACCCCATGGCTTGGTCCTGGCATGGCAGTGGGCACAGCACGAGGGGTTCTAACAGCTCTACTGCCATGGTGCTACTCCTCAGCCAAGTGCAGCTTCCATGCATGGGACTGCTTGGGATCCAGCACCATGAGTAAGCAGGTCCTGCCAGTTGCCCCTGGCACATGGGTGATGCTCCCTGCCCCCTTCCTTGTCTGGGTGCTCTATCTGTCCTAACCTGTGACTGCTTTTCACACCAGGTTTTGATACTCTGGGATGCAAATGAGCCCTTCCTTGGCACAAGGAATCTGAGGGAACTGGTTTTGCAGCCCATGACTGCTGAGGGGACATCATGCAGCCCCCCAGGCCAAGCAGGATGGTTACCATGGAACAATGATGGCTGGAAGTCACCTACATGGAACTGGGACCCTCTCCCTGCCCTCGGGCAGTGCCTTCATGTGGGGATGGCTGCCTGCACCTCCCTGCCTGCAGGCAGCCCAGGCTGCCAGCGCCTCTGGGAAGCAGAGCACAGAACAGAGGTGCCTGTGGGATGGTTTATTTTGTGGAGCAGCTGGGGCCATTGTGGATACAGGGTTTTGCCTCATGTGGGGTTGCTAGGAGTCTTGCCCATGGGTAGTGCAGGCAGCATGCAGCCCTTAATGGCACCGCTGGGAGTGCCAGGGACCTGAGCAGAAGCATCGGAGTCAATGCTGGTGCCACCCTGCCAGTGCACAGGGTCCAGTGCAGGGAGAGGTGTGGGGTGCACCAGCACCTCTGCCCAGCCCATGGGTGCAATGGCAGTGGGGTGGGGATGACCCTGAAATGGCAGCTCCTGGTGCAGTCCTTCCTGGCCACGGCTACGCTGTACCTGGAAGAGGCAAGTGAGGTGGTCAGTGAGGATGCCTCAGTGCTCCTTCTCTGAGGGATGGGAGTCCTGTGGTGCTCCTGCCCTGGCCCCCCTCTGTCCCCTCCGGGCTGGACCCAGGAGGCAGCAGGCTGGAGGGGACTCTACCCCACCGTGGGTGGATGCAGACCCTGCTGCAGCCCTGTAGGCAGCACTTCTGGCCAAGGGGACAGTCCTTGTCCTGCAGGCACAGGAGGAGGCACAGGCACTTGGCTGCCTGATCACCTTCTGCTGCAGGGGGACAGAGACCTGGCCATGCTGGCACACGTGGAGAGAAAAAGGGGTGAGGGGCTCAGGGCACCCCTCCAGGGTGGGGGAGCTGCCCTGCCTGCAGGGGTGAGCTCCTCACTGAGCTCCTGCCCCATTGGACAGCAGCTCAGTCCTCAGCTTCCCATTGCCCCCCAGAGGGTCACGGTGACAGGTAGGGAGGGGGCACAGGGGTCTGGGCCCCACAGGGTGCCCATGGTTTACCCTTGGTGGGTGGTTTGCAGATGTGACCACAGCCGGTGGTGCAGCACTTGTTGTCCCCAGTGCAGTCACTGTCAGTGTCACACTGCTCCAGGCAGGGCCCCAAGGAGCCCCGCAGCACCGTGGGGCACACGCCGGGCTTCACTGCAGCATGGTGGCTCCCTGGTGACAGGGAAGAGGGCAGCTGTGCTGGAATTCTGTCCCCAGTCCCACTGCTGGCGCAGCCTCGGTCTCCATCCTGTCCCTGTCCTGCTCCTCCATCTTCCTTCCCAGGCACCACGATGACCTCAGTCACCATCCTCACACCCACACCAGTCTGACCCAGTGAGACCAGTCACAGCTCAGTATGGGATGCCAGCTGGTAGCTGGAGTGGTGAAGGACAACCCTTGCTTTGGGTGAAATCTAAGCGGGGTGCAGGAGGGAGGGTCAGGAGGGGGTTCAGCCTTTCACGCACTCAGAGCCATCTCCCACCCATCACAGAGGAGCTGGGCATGGGGATCCCTTCCCACAGCCCTGAGGGCCAGCTCTGAGGGCTGGGGCTGTGCCCAGGGCAGGCTGTGGCACTGGGAGCCACAGCCAGTGACACACACTCCCTGGGGCCTGGTTGGTGCCACCAGCTGCACACTTGGCCAGGCACAGCTGCTGCAGCTTGTCCAGCAGTAGGGCCGGGCACACACTGGGCTCTGCCAGGGGGGAGCTGGGCTAGCACCAGTGCAGTGGTGGGCTGGATGTGGGGATCAGAGAGGGCTGGGGGGGCTGTACCTGTGTCTGGAGGGGTGCAGGCCAACCCACAGCCAGAGAAGCAGCACTTGTGCTCCCCAGGGCAGTCCCGGTCATCGGTGCAGCGGTTGGGGCAGGCAGCAGCTCTCCTCTGGGCACGCTTCCATGGGCAGAACCCAGGTTTGGCTGGAGGGAAGGCGCAGGGTTTGGCATGCAGCCAGCCTGGCCCCACTGCCCACGACTCCCCTGTAGTGGGATGGGGGCTGCAGAACCCTGGCGCTGCCCCAGGGCGTTCTCAGCCTGGCATGGGGTCTCCAGGACACCTCACCTGGCTCAGCAAGCACGCAGCGGGTGCAGCAGCCGCGGGTGCAGCACTTCTCCCCCGAGTGGCATGCGGTGTCGTTGTGACATCTCGTCCCACAGCTTGGCCCAATGGCACTGCCAGCACGGGGGCAGTAGCCCGGGCTCTCTGCAGAGGGAGATGCTCCATGCAGCCGCGTAGCCATGTCTCAGGGAGCAGGGACACCCCCTCCAGAGGCACCAACACAGGCACCAGCCCACATCCCACCCATTGCCCGATCCTCGTGCTGGCATCCCTTGGAGTGAGCAGAGGTACCTGTGGTGGGCAGGAGGCAGGTCCAGACCTTCCCGTCCTGGCAGCACTTCTCAGCACCAGGGCAGCCATGGTCGGAGAGGCAGTACAGTCTGGAGGGCCAAGGGGCTCTGCTCGTCCCCACTGGGCACTCACCCACTTTGGGGGGAGCAGGAGGGGCAGTGGGGGTCCAGTGTCCCTGCAGGGCCCGGTGAGGGGATTCAGTGAGGGTGAGGGCAGTGCCCTGGTCCCTGGGGCTGTGCTGCTGGGCCAGGGTGAGCAGTGCCAGGAGCACCAGAAGAGTGCGGTGGCCCAGCATTGTGCTGCAGTCAATGTGCTTCTGGGCAAGGGGCTGGGATTTAAACCCTGCTGGAGTGGGGGCTGGCCAAGCCAAGCTGCTCCTTCTCATGGCGGCACAGTTCCGGGACTGTGGGAGTGCTGGGCATGAACAATTCAGCTTGGGGGAGACTCCTGGGGCAGTTCTGGGCTCATGGCCCATGGCTGACACATCTGCAGCTCCTTTTCCAGGTCACTGGTGACCTGTGAGCAGCTGGGCCAATGGCTGAGCACTCCCAGAGCTACACCATTGAGAGCATGGATGGGACACTGGAGCAGTCCTGTCCCAGTCTTCAGTGTCCAGGGGATCCCTCCTGACACACCTGGAGCAGGGAGAGCTGCTGTGGAGCTGTGGTGCTGGCACAGCCTACACCTGCACTGCAGAGAGAGGGGGAACCAGCACCAGACACTGGGCAGTGCTGGGCAAGGTGTGGGGCTCACTCAATCCCAGGGGATGGCTCTGCCAAGGAGGGGGCTATGGGGGTGCCAGCCCCTCCCAGGCAGGAGGGACATGCTCTGATCCCAGGGCCTGGGAGCAGGAACAGGCAGGTACGGAAGAAACAGGGCCCCTGGAGACCTGTGGAGAGCAGGAAGTGCCAGGGGAAAGCAGGACAGGAGCAGGAGCCCAGATTTGAGCAGGTGGAGAGGGATGTGGCAGGGGCAGGCATGGGACCAGGGCATGTGGGTTGCACTGCCGAAAGTTCCTTCAGGCTTCTGCTGTGGGCAAGGTGCCATGGCCAGGCTGGGGGGGCAGGGGTAAGGAGGAGTTTGGGTAATGCTCCTGTACGAGCACACACTGCAGCCTGTTTGTCCCTGGCCACTGCAGAGCAGGGAGCAGACAGCCCCTCTGCTCTGATGGCACACGGACACAGCTGCACCTCAACAATGCTCTGAGCATGGTGGAGAACCCAAGGTGGAGGAGCCAGAGTGCAGGGACAGCTGGGACCATAGACCCATGGGACAGCCCCAGGCAGGGCACAGGCAGGGGACCCTTGGAGGCATGACAGAGTCAGTTGATGCTCCTGCTTGTGAATCCCTGGTATCCCTGGTATGGGATGGAGAAGCTGCCATGGTTTGTGATGGAGAGGTGGCCACAGCATGGAACAAAGAAGTGGCCATGGTGTGGGATGGAGAGGCAGCCACAGCATGTCAGGGAGAAGCTGCTTTATTGGAGAGAGTGCAGGGGGTTTGCCCTGAGCAGAGAACCTCAGGGAGAAAACTGAGGCTGAAGGCTCCAAGCCAGGGGGATGGTGCAGGGCCACGTCCAGGGCATGTGGGATGGGCATCGGGCAGCAGCTTCCCTGTGGCTGGGCTGGCAGGAGACGGCTGCACCTGCAAAGGAGCAGAGGCTGTGAGCAGGATGGGTGCATAGGTGCCGTGCTGCGGTGCTGTGGGATCCCCGGGGCTGGAATGCACCCAGCTGACCTCAATGGATGGGTGTCACACAGGAGACCTTGCCACAGCCATTCCTGCAACACTTCTGGACCCCGGAGCAGTTGGCATCGGTCTTGCACTGGTTGGCGCAGACGCCCAGCATGGGGATGCCCGGGTTCACGGGTGGGCAGGTGCCAGGCTTCTCTGAAAGACAAAAGAACATGGCTGAGACCTGCTAGCCCTGGCAAGGAGGGGAGGGCCTACCCGGCAGGTCCCAAAGCTGTGGGCATGGCCCTGGCCCCTATCTGCCATGGAGGAGGGATCACCACGGTACCCAGCATTTCCCCCATCCCATTGATCTGCTTGTTGGCACTCCTTGCCAGCTGGACCTGATGGGAACACAGCAGGGTGGCCACATGGCATAGTGGTCCCCAGCAGTCCCTATGCTCAGTGTTCCCTCTCAGGGACACATGGCTGACACAGGATGCACAGCTGCAACATGCAGACCTGATGCAGGCCTTGGCCCTGCTGTCCTCTACAACTGCCATGGCTGGCCCAGCTGTTTGCTCATAGCATGGGGGCGCAGCCTAGGCCTCAGCCAGGATCACAGGCCCCCCAAACAGCCTTTGCCCAGCAGTGTGGAGCCTCTGCCCCACTGTCCCACTGCCTGCCACTGGCATTGAGCTCTGGCTCTGCACCATGCTGCCCTCCACTGTGGTGCAGCCAAGCCAGCACTGTCCTGCAGGTAGCCATGGAGGCTCTGGAGCATCCAGGTCATATCCATGTGTCTGCAGCTGTGGCTTCCAACTCCTGCACCCGTCTGCTTGGGTTGCTATCCAGAATGACTGTTGTGGTGAGCAACAGAACGGTGCCCCCCGCATCCTGGGCTGGCAGCTGCCCACAAGGCTGAACAGGACTGCAATGGGGAGTGGCGCAGACCCCACCTTCCACCCAAGCCCCAGCATCATTTAGGGGTGTCCACTCAGCCCCTGCATCGCTGAGAGGAAGAAGATGTGAGTACGGCCCAGCAGGAGCACACCCCGAGCCTGCTGGGCTTCCGTGCAGCCCCCAGTCCCCGTCCTGCAGCTGAACACACATCGGGCACCCAGGCTTGGTGCCACCGCTGCAGCGCCCGTACTGCTGGCTGGGACGGGCGGCTGGCTCGTGGCAGCGGCACCGACTGCGGGCAGCGCGGCCAAGGAGCAGGAGGGAGTGTTACCGTCAGGCTTCTGGCAGGCCTTGCCGCAGGCTGCCGGGCAGCACTTGAGGGTGCTCTCGCAGTCGCCATCGGACTGGCACCCCACCGTGCAGTTCACCGCATCCACCGCCGGGCTCGGGCACACGCCGGCTTTTGCTGCAAGGCAATGCGGGGCGTGGGCAGGCGCGGGGCGGCGGGCGCCGGGCAGGGCGAGGGCGCCGTCCCTTTCCGGGAGATGCTGCCCCGGCCCCAGGGCTGGGTCCAGGGATGCTGCCGAGCCCGACCGCGCCGGGCACAGGCCGGTGCTCGCCCCGGCCCCCACGCCGGCTCGCCCTGGGGCTGGGAGGGAGGGAGGGATGCTGGCCGCTGGCCGGGCGTGCCGTGACGAGCCGTGCCGGGCCATGCGCTCATACTCACTGGTGTCATTCTGGGCGGATGCTGCCGGCAGCTCTGCCCAGAGAGCCAGGAGCCCCGCCAAGATGAGGACGCTGCGGGCCGCGGGCATGGTGCAGGAACCGGCTGCGCTGTGCCCGCCCGGCCGGCCTTTAAGCTCCTCTCCAGGTGGGGCCGGCGGGCTCGGCCTTCCGGGTGGCTCCCAAGGGCCGGGCAGGGCCAGGCTCCCCCTTCGCGCTTGCACAACCCGAGTATCAGGTATCTGCTGCTGCTGGCTGCCGACCAGGGAGGGGGAGCCTCGAGGAGACTGGGCGGCCATGCCGAGAACTCGCCCGGCAGGAACGGCAGCCGAGCGCCCCCGGGCACGGCCCCGCACGCCGGACCCCGGCCGGCCCCGGCCGAGCCCGCCGGGGCGCTGGGTCGCCGCGGCCCTGCGTGGCGATCGGCCCGGGGATGAAGGGGCACCGCTCGCCAAGGAGCGAGTGCACCGGGGACGGGGCATGACCCGACCCTGCTCACGCTCACCTCGCACCCGTGAGCTTGAGTGGAGCCCCTGGTCTGGGTCGCTGATGCCCCGAGGCCAGGAGGAGCCAGCAGTGCAGACAGGGTCGTGGCTCAGCTCTGCTTCTGCTCACCCAGCTCCTGCTCCTGTTCCAGCCACTGTTCTCCTCCAGCTCTTGCTCCTCAAGTGAAGGGTCCTCCAGGCTGCCTGTGCCTTGGGCAGATGCCTGCCCTGCTCCTTCCCACAGCCACGGGAACTCTTGCCCGGCCATAGCCCTGTCCCACGGACCCTGCCATCCTCACAGTCTCGCACAACACTGGGGATGCAGATGGACCATCTGACCACCATTTGTGCAAGTGGCTGTCAGGCAGTGCGTCATTGACATGCACTCCCAGTGCTCGGGGGAATGGTGGTACTGGGGCTGTAGGACCCCAGTCCCTTTGGCCTGTCCAGAATACCCTTCCCATGGCACATCTGGTGCATCGGGACACTTCACTGTCCCTGGCAATGTCAAGCTGGGGATGGTTTGCACCCAGCTCGCCCACCTGGCATAGCTGCCCTGCTCACATCAGCATTTGCCACTCTGCCAGCACCCATCCTCCTGCCGGAGGATGAAACCTGCCCTGTTCCTGTGATGTGCTCTTGCTGCTGGTGGAGACAGCCCCAGCTCCAGGCATCTTGCAAACTTGCATGGGCCAAGGGTGCATGGGGCCGGGACATGATCCCTGCCTGAGTCACGAGTTGGCGTCTGCTCTGCCGGGGTCCGTCTCCAGGTAATTTAACCCCACAGTCAACATTGTGGCACGGCGGCGTGGCAGTAAATCAGTAACTGTTTGCCTTTGCCTGTGGTCCCCTCCCTGCCAGGTGTTTATGCAGGAACAGGAGCCGGCGCTCAGCCGCCTGCCCCACTGCCGCACCTCATGTCACCGCTGACGGCAGTGGGAGTGACACATGGGCAGAGGCCTGGGGTGGCAGGGAAATCATCAAGGCAGCCGTTTTCCCTGTGCCCTTCCGGATGGGGCCTTGCTGAGGAGCTGCAGGGACCTGGCCATGCTCAGGCTGGCTGAGATGCTCCCACAGTGGGCCCAGGGCCAACATCAGGATGCCAGGAATGAAAATAAGCATCTTGCAGCCCAGTGACCCCTGCACCAGGGCCAGAGCACAGTGCTGTGTTGGCCACAGTGGGATAGGGGTGATAATGGCTGGGAGGTGAGCACACTGCCCACCAGGATGGAGAGGAGGGACCTGCACCTTCCCTACCTATGCTGCACAGAGACAGAGCCCATCTGGACCCAGCAGCAGCTTCTCTAGAGCAGCAGCACTGCTGCCAGTCCCTCACTGCCCACCCAGGGTCACTGGTGTCCCACTGTGACTTGGCTGTGGCCCTGTGCTGGTGCCGTCTTTGAGCATCACTGCCCTGGTCTGACCCTGTGACAACTCTGCCCCAGCATGGGGTGACCCCAGTGTGGGGTGACCTTGGTGCTGGCAGTGAGCAGCCAGAACTGGCAGGCTGTGAGGGAGAATGCCAGCACAAGAGCAGCTGGATGACAGCAGAAGGGAGATGGAAAGAGATGAGGGGAAAACCACAGGGAAAACTGAGAGTTGGCAGGAGCAGTGGAGGCACCAGTGGTTTTGCCCACACTTGTGGCCCAGCTCCAAGGTGCCCAGCTGGTTGCTGAGGGGACAATCCAGCTGAAGCTGCCCCCAGCCAGCTGGAGCACCTGGAGGGGGACTGAGCAAGCTGGCAGCAGGGCCAGCAGCTCCAGCCCACACAGTTGGCATCACCTTCTGACAGACAGGAATGCTCTGGCTCCTGTCCCCAGTGTATGGCATCCGGGATATTGGTGTCCCCACCCTGGCTCTGCCAGGTGCTTCTTCAGCAGAGGCTGAGAATGGCTGTGGGGAGTACAGGGACCTGAGAGCTATCTCCATGGCCAGGGAGGATCCTGGCTGAGCACATGGGATCAGCAGCCTCAAACCAGACCCCAAAGTCTCATCTCTGCTGCATCCCTTGAGAGCTGTGCCCACCACCACTGAGCCTGGTCACGGTGGCTGCACCCAAGCCTTGCAGGTGACTGTGGCTCCTCCATGGCACCAGGGAAGGTGCTGGAATCACGTCACCTGACTGCTGAGGGAACGTGGTCAATGATTAAAAGGGGCACATTGCAGTGCCCCCGAGCAGTGAGTCAGCCTCCCGCTCCTGGCACAGAGCAGGGATAGGAAGTACAGGGATACAGAGGGACACCCCATCCTCTGGAGATGCTGGGCCCCTCAGTCAGCAGCACAGGGTCCCCACACCATGGGCATGGACTGGTGCATGGCCCCTCAGGTCCAGCCATGCACCTGCTGAGGGCTCCTGCCACACTGCCACATCCTGCCACAGCCGAGTCCCCTGCCCACGCTGCCCCTGCGGCGCAGACCTCGGTGGCGCGTGAATGCTCTGGAGCTTGGCATGTGCCTGGCTCTGTGCTGGGGCATTGCTCCTACCTGCTCGTTCCATCTGGGACCCCTGCCCCAGTCAGCCCCACAGTGCTCCAGGGGCTAGCAGAAGGCATCCCCACCCCAAGCCCCCCAGCACTCACCTTTGTCCTCAGCAGTTGTAGGGGCTGCCTGAAGCTGGGCACACAAGGCCAGGATGCCCAGGAGCAAAATGATGGTGGTCTTCATGTTGGTGAAAGCCAAAGGTATGGATGAGGAGCGCAGTTTGGCAGGGTTTATATTTGTGTGGGGCTGGGGAGGGGCCATGCACATAATCTTCATGTGCCAAAACACTCTCTGCTGCTGCGTGTCACAGTTGTGCCCGAGGCAATGACGGCCTGAGAAATGATTTACCTAGCCTTGTCCAGCCCTGGCAACACAGTTGCAGCAGGGGGAAAGACCCTCAGCACTCTCACAGGGAAAGGGAAATGAGACCATGGGCTAGGGTCACCCTACAGCCATTGGGAGCCCAGAACTACCCAGCTGTGACAAGTGATTAGCTGAATTTGTAGGTTAGGAACCCAGAGGGGGCTGCTCAGAAAGACGTTTCCCTGGGGGCTGCTGTCCTGGCAGTGTGTCACTGGGGTGACACAGGGCTGTGGGTCTGCTGGGCTGTGCCCATCCCAGAGACCCAGCACATGCTTGTTCCAGTCCTGGCCTGGTGCCTACGTCACGCCACGTCTGCCAGTGGAGCCTCAGGGGACAGCTGGCTGGGTCCCTGCGGGCAGGCATAGCCTCAGGGGAAGCAGAGCGTGGGAAGCCTCCATGAGACACAAGGCTGGATGCACCCGTTGCTGAGCACCATTCCTCCGTGGGGACAGGCTGGTGGCTCAGTGCCAACACGTCGCTGGCTGCTGACATGTCCCAGCAGATGGGTGCTGTGGTGGGGTCAGCACTGGGGCTGCCTCTCACCTCCCCATGCTCCCAGACTGGTGACAGGTGACCCTGGGATGCCCAAGGTCAAAGGTGTGGGGGGGTCACAGCCAGCCCAACTGAGCATATGAAGGGTCACCATGCCAAGGGTGAGGTGTGCTCCCTGCTCTTGGGGACCCCGCCATACTGCCACTGCTGTGTCTGAGACCCTGCCAAGCAGGACCTCTGCTTCCTGCATCCCATTCCATGCAGAAAGGAGCATGGTCAAGGGAGTGCAGCCCTGCTAGGGAGCTGTTCTGTGGCTCCTCTCATTGCTGAGCTGTGGCTATGCAGGCACAGCTCTCTGTGCCTCACTGAATGACAAAGGGCACCTGCAGGTGCTGCTGGTAAATTGGGCAGACATGGCCTGGATTAGGGGGGCCGAGCTTGGGACTGGCAGGCCTGCAGCAAAGCCAGGGGACAGCCAGGGCTGCAGAGGGACAGAACCAGGCTTTTTGAGGGACTGTTGGAGGAGACTTGTCCTGTGCTGCAGAATGGCCCCAGGTGGGGACACCAGAGACACCAGGGACACACCCTGCCTGGGAAGTTGTGACAAGGCCAGCCTGCCAGGATGCAGGCATCTATGCTGAAGCCAATGTGACCTCTGTGGCCTCATCCAGGGTTTTACAGCTCAACGATCAGACTTTCCCACTTGGAAATTCCTGTGTGCGTCATCCCTGTTCCGAGCAGCTGAATACATTTGTTTCTGGCAGAACTCTGTGTCTAAATCAAAAGGAAACACGAGCAGGAACCAGGGGCTTTGCGAGCAGCCTGGTCACATGCATGGGGTCGCTTTGAGTGGCACCTTTGCCACAATGTGGCATGTGCCACTCAAAAGGACCCCATGCATGTGACCAGTGCAGTGGTGGCGATGTGGGGGCCACCTTCTCCCGAGCAGCCTTTGCTGGTGCTGGCGGCCCGGGCTCTGCGGGGCCCTTGCCCTCTTCCTGCCCGGCTGCTGCGTGCCCGATGCGTGTCACGGCGTGGCATCGGCGGCGGCCCGTGCCACGGCTGGGGGACACGGCGGTGTGCGCCTGGCCATTGGGCTGGGGGACATGGACCCCCTGCTCTGGGCAGCCCCCTCCCCACCTGCACCCGCTTTCCGCCCGCAGCTCCTCCCAGCCGCTGCCGGTGCCGCTGCCGGTGCCGCTGCCGCTGCCGGTGCCGGTGCCGGTGCCGGTGCCGGTGCCGGTGCCGCTGCCGCTGCCGGTGCCGGTGCCGGTGCCGGTGCCTCCGGCCGTTTCTTCCGTCCCCTCCCGCCGTGTGTCGCGGCTCGAGGGCCGGTTCCGTCCTGGTCCCGGCGCCGATCCCTGGCGGCG